AATACTCTTTAAAATCCCCCCCACCCCCCCTTTTTTTAAGCCTATGTGTCTATGACGCTTCTCTTTAAGCAATTCTGAGAAAATTCAAACTGGGGATGCATTTTAAAAATACAGGCCTTGGCTATACAACTTATTGCTACCCTGGAACAAACGCATTCTTTGAGCATATAAGAAAAAGTTCATTAAGAAAATTTCCTTCTATTCAGTGGGGTTTGTCCTTTCCCTCTTCCTTCAGCTCTACTGTACTAAATCAGGGACTCAGTGTAAGTTTTTCTTAAAAGCTAAAACTGATAGAACTGATAAAATGGAATATCTACTACTTGAACACAAATATGACCTCTAGAACCTATTTAAAAATTAAAGGTCAAAGCCCCTTCAACAATGCTTCACCATTTTTGGAAATCATTACATTCCCAGGAGGGGGTAGGCTCTGGGCATGGGGAAGTCCCATTGGTAGATAAATATGGCCACACTGTTCTGTCATGTGCTATAGTTAGCGCTCAACGCTCTGCTTAATCCTGCCTTCTAATGCTTTGGTCTCAGAAATGAGATCCACCAAACTTTCTTTAGTAGCACACAGAAGATGCCACGTTTACAGCAGGGTCTAAAGAGAGACTTCAGGATCAACCTCCTAATAGTTATTAGATGGCTCATAAGAAAAAACATTTTTTGGGAATATCCTACACTGAGATGACAAAATATTGCCACTTCAGTTTTTGGCTATACTACTACCATTACCTATACCAAAGCCTGTGAAATGTCTTAAGTTATGCATTTGTCTACAGTTGAGAAAACAACATTTTTCTGATATAAAAGCAAATTATGCACTAGCTTTTTTTTTTTCTTTTAGGAAAGACAGATGTAATTAAACAAGATAAGGTTAAAGTCCTGACTGTATCTCTTCCCAGACATTTCTACCTGTACAAAATCTTAAATCGATATTCAAGAAAAAGTCCAACTTATTATTCAGTTACTATATGAATGCATTTGTCTCGAGACCCAATTGTAAATCTTATATTTACAATTATTTTTAAAAGTACTTCTTGCCTTGTAGAGAACATATCATTTAAAAGTGTAACGTCTGTATGTTAGCAAAATGTTGCAATACAAATCATGAGCTGTCAAATATCTTTTTAGGTAAAATTTATAAGTACTTGGTATGGAAGATAACTTTTTCTAAAGTCACATTTTTACAAGAAGAAAGCAAGACAAAGGTTTAAAAGAAAGGTTTTATTTTAAAGAGACTATCGTGTGTTAACTACAGTGTCTATAATATTAAATCAAATAATGAGTTTGTATTAATTTTATACAGAGAACTAATACTTTTATAATAACGGATAAAGGGTTTCAATATTTGAAATCCAAAGACTTATTCTAGCTCGCATTCCATTCTTGTTTCTCATGCACTTTTTAATCGAGGTAGCTGGCAAGGATTCAAATTTTATTTCCTGCCCCCTGGTGGAGGTGTTAATGAATAGTGAATTGGCCAAAGGCGGCCAGCAGATTAGAATATTTTAAAAAACCAAACCAAACAAAAAAATCTGTATAATTCCCCAAATGGAAGCCAACCTTTAAGAAAAAGCAGAAAATTCACAGAATCAAAGTGCCTACAAATAAAGTGTTCCCTAACCAGTCTCACCTGTTACAAGCCTGTTCATCAAGTGGTAAAATTATCAAGTTACAAGAAGGCTGTGCCTCAAATTTCTTCTGAGGCTTTCAATTTCTACCGATACCCAGCCCAAAGGTAAGGAAGGAGGGGTACAGTACTCTTTTTTCCCTTTATTTCAGGGCTGCTGATGGAATTCTCCATCTCTGGGCCTAATTTAATTTGTATAATAGCAGGAAACTTATTCTCTCCAGCATCTTGAGAGTATCTGAGGCTATAGCAGTGCTGAATTATTGCCAATCAGTGATCAGCCAGGGAAACTGAGGGCCTCTTGCCTCTGTGTTCCCCAGTATTTGCATTTTAATAAGTTCCTCAAGGAGAGAGGATGTCTATTTGCAGTGTGTATCCTGAACCTCCCTAAAGAGACAATAATCTGTAAATGTGAACAACAGTACAAGTGAAGAAATTTAGATTTTATGAATGCCTTATGTTGACTGTGCTAAGTCTTTCTTACTGCCATTTCTCTCCAAAATGGCTTTACCTGGGTAGGGTGATTCATGGGTGTGTGTATGTGGGGGTGGAGGGGTGTATGTGGGGGTGCAGGGTGTGTGTGTGTAACATATCCCAATATTCCAGGTTAGGAGTTCAGGAGTTATTCCCACAGCTATGAGTTTTCCTTAAAAAAATTAAATGTCTTTTATCGTGAATCATTGGGTGGACACAGTGTTCCCTAGACAAAAATCACAAGAAAAAAATAACATAAGCCTCCACACAGCTGGAGCTCATTCTCAAAGACTGTCTAGGCTAAAAAGGCAGAGGCTGCAAACCCTGTGGGTCATATTTGGCTTATAGTCATGTTTTGTTTGGCCTGCAGTGTTTATATAATAATAATAAAAAAATGAATTTAGTTGCAAACATTTTGAAATCCAGAAATCACATAGAAAATCCTGGATTTCCAGCTTCTCTTGAAAATTTGTAATTTCTGGCTACGTGGGCTTCACACTTCCACCTTGCAGCTCGGTCCTCCTTAGACAAAGTGAAAGCATCTCCAGTACACGCACCCATACACATGCTTCACTTGTGCAAGTGACTTATCTGAGACACGAGGGCATTCAAATTTGGGACCTCTGATTTTAAGATTCTGCAATACATTTATTTGCTCTCTCCACAATCTAGCTAAATGTCTTTGATAAAGATCAACATGTTAAAGGGAAACCTCTTAACTTGACACATCCTGATCCATCCTGACATCTTCACAAAGCCTGAAATTTTGCAAATATCATCATCCATTCCATTCAATAAAGATTTATTAAGGAACTACCATGTGCCAGGAACTGTTCTGGTCATTGGAGATACAGAGGAAGACAAAAACAGCTATAGCAAATGCCTTAAGAACGCAGTAAATATCACTTCTTCATGCCTCTACAGAGCCTCCCTCACTAATCAAGGGGCTTGCTCCCCATGAACACTGCTGATAGCAGGACTCACACATAAAACAAATTCATTTCAGTAAGACTGCAGATGCTATGTATTATGAAACGTCAAGGTTGAAACCATGGACGTTAAATCCTCAAATGCTAATGTTCTTTTATACTTACTTTGTACCAGTGAAATCCAACTGGTTTGATCTTTAAGTGAAGGCCATACCTTTATCCCCACCTTGAAAGTTCCTATTTGCTTAAGCAGCCTCTCTTCAACAATTAGAAGAGGCACACCTGCATTGTTTTAGTTGTTGTCCACCTGCCCCACAAGGGAGCATGTTTGCTTTGATCTAGTAACATCTAGGGCATAGCTGTAAACTCAAATGCCTACAGGAGCCAGGCAGGTTTCCTGAATGGTGCTGGCCTAGGATTAGAAATAAACCAAAAGCGGGGGGTGTGCGGTAAGCTGTAGACCACATGGCCAGTCCAGAGGGTGCAGCTGCTACTCAGCTCTGGCCAACTGTTTCCACTCAGAGACAGAGGCCTGGTATTGCCCGATCTCATTTTTCAAGAGAAGCCAGAAACCAGGATTCTTTTTATGCTGGCAACAAATGCAAAATTTAAAAAAATGCTGCGTGGGCCAAAGAAAATATGTCTGCAGGCTAAATCCAGCCAGTTTGCAGCCTCTGAACTGAAAGAAAGGCACAGTCTTCACAAATGAAGTTCTGTCAGGGCATGCAAGCTCCAGACATACTGGTTAACAGAAAAAGAGGCAGAGGAATAAAGAATTTGTTTTCATGATTTTCTGCAACATTACCATAAAAAGATCAAATTCTTCTTCTCGTCGAGCAATCATTTGGTTCAGAGTCTCATCATCTGGTACTTCGTCTTCTTCCTGGGGTTAAAAACAGGGTGATTGAATAGGCTTTAGGCAAGAGGCTGGACAGCTGGGGAAAGGTACAAACACGTAAGGTGCATCTGTCTGCAGACTAGAGAGTTCCCATTTCTCAAGCCAGAAAGAAAAGAGAAGGATTTCATACTTGCCATTATTAATTTGCAAGCTATTCAAACTATCCTCCCAGAGCAAAATCTGTTTAGGGAGGAAACGTGGTGCACTGTAAGAAATACTGGTTCTCCTGGGTGTGCATCTTGATTCTGTTACCTTTAAAACAAGTTACTTAAAGTCTTCCTGCCTCAATGACTTCATCTGTAAAATGGGCATGACATCTACTTCACAGAGGGGTGTAAGATTTAAATAAGGAAATCCACATGAAAAAGTACCTAACATTAGTTCTTTTAATTCCATTGGCTGTATCCCAAATATAAATGCTTATGTTCAAAGCCTTACAAAAACATGAATGTGAAATTTTGTGACTAGGCACTGAACAATACCATAAAAATCATATATATATGCCAAATATATAGGCTTTAAGATATGTTTAATCAATGTATTTCAGTGGGCATGATTACTGCTAATTTTAGAGCTATGGCTGGGAAAACTCAAAAGAGATCAATAACAAAAGCCCCTCAAAACTATACTTAATTAAAATAATTTAAATGAAGTAGAGAAAGTAATTACATAAGGTTAAAGAATTTCCTCTTATATTGTATTGAACAGAGGCACATTATCTCTCTGCTAATTCCTCAAAAACCAGCAGTTCTCGAAAAATGTTACGCTTTGACTTCCACGCTTTTAAAAAATGATTCTAAAATTTGGGCATATTTTACAGGACTTATCTTCCAAAATTATTTTTAACATATGCTGAGTGGACTTCTTAAAAATCAAATGAAGAATTTCAGTATATCAGCAGAGGGAAGAGAGAGGAAAACACAGAACTTAAAACATCCAATTTCACAAATCTGTTCAAAACAAGGCAACTTGTTTTAGAGAAAGTGTATGAGTGCACTAGCTAGCAGCTTGACTGAAATGACTTTTCAGTTTCCAAGATAATGCCTTACCCACTGTAGGAACTTAGTAAGTGTTAGAAATGAATGCAATCCAATCAAGTAAAAAACCTATGATTCAAGATCATAATTACTTCTCAAAAACTTTCTATTCTAGTTTACCTCCAGACTGATTAAAGTCAATTGTATAAATACTACATTTCATCTGACAAAGACACAGACTAGCTGGGAGTGGGCTCAGCCTTCACAGTGGGAAGTATCTGGTTTAGTAGTTCCCTGGTGAACAGATGTCCTGCTCTGTCTCCCCTCTTCCTGGAACCACATGTCACCCTCTTATCACATATGCAATGGAGGGCCTAGATGTCCCTATGCCCAAGATGAAAAGATTCTCCTGTTAAACTGACAAGAAGCCTGCCATGGTGACCTGACCTTTGTGGAGAACCAAATAGCTGGGAACTGTGCAATAAATCCTCCTGGGTTCTTTGTGCCCTAGCACTTTGTGGCTTGTCCACTGTGGTGATGGCAGCCTATGCTGCCTGGAATACTCAAGACCAGAGCCCTTGACTACAGTATATCAGTGTCCCCAAGTGTCTTCCCATCAAGACACAGGCCATCCAGAAAATGGTAACATTTGTCGGACACACTGATGGCCTGGGAGAGATGTAGACCCCAGCAAGGCTGCTCACAGCTAGAAGCAGGTGGCACAGGATTTCCACTCCAGGCCCCATGTGGTGGCCCTTGGGCCTGGGAGAGATCAACATGTCCCTGCAGCTGGAAAGCTCCAGCCTTCCTTGCGTCCCATCTAAACCAGGCCAGAAACCATTTTCACAAGGCCTACACAAAATAAGCAAAAATGCAGTGGAGACTATTGCCTGGGTGTCAGTGCAGCCACAGCTGCTTTGTGACAGTATGTATCATTCACCATATTGTTTTCAGTAAATGTCCAAGTGTGTGAACAGCAACAAAAACATCACCTGACAACCTGACTCTAAATCTGTCTCAGATATTCAATTTCAAGAGTCAGAAATGGTGACTCATTCGAGATTAAAAATTTTTAAATGTGTATAGAGGTGTGAGTGGGCATTCTTATGTATTTTTCATCATTTTCATGAAACCCAATGGATAACTAATCAAATACATAAGGCTGACAAATTAGGCATAATACATAAGTACTCTTCAATTTGCAAAAGGATTCATTTCAGCAATCCTCTAAATATCAAGCTTTACTTCACATTTAGGTTCAGTCAGGAAAAAAGTATATAAGACTTTTTTAAAAGAATTTGATTTATAATTGGAAAGATTTCAAAAGCACATATCCTATTTCAGGCAAAATCAAACAATGTATCTCATATATGCAATGAAAATAGTATTACATTCTAATATGTAAACTTACTCTTTAATTTGTAAGTAGGGACACACAAAACCAAATTCGTCCATCATCAGCCAGTTTTATGGTAAGGACTGGTGCTGGTATTTTGTGTTTTCTAGACTGTATAAATATGTTTTTAAATCTATTTCATATCCATTTTGGGATGAATAATATAAAGTTACTAAAATTGGCAATCTAAAAAAATACAAATGACAACCCATGGATTCCCTAAAAGAAACATAGTCAATGTATTCTTTGTACAATCTCAACAAATAAAAAGAGAATTTTTAACCAGTATTTTTCTCAGCCTTTGGTCAACTCTTAAAAATCTGAAGTGGGGTTAAAGTCACACTTTCCAAGTGCAAGTACAGCTAATGAGCCAAAGATGGCTGCGAAGCCTTGTCCTACAAACACATTGAAGTGCTGTGGCCCCTGACCAAAAGACAACAGAGACAGAGGGCTGAGAATGGAAGAAAGAAAAGGCAAGGAGGGACCGTCCAGAGACAAGACCATCTGTCTTGTCTCATCTGGCTGATTTTGTCACTGTGAGTCCTCCCTGCAGTTTTGCAACTGCCCAACAGAAGGCAGCATTTACAATACAATAAAGCACGGATGGTACCTCCCTGGGAGGAGTGACCTAAACACCCGTAGGCCAAGCCTTGCGGTCCCTCTAGCCACAGCTTTTAAGACACTCATCTGGATAACTTTCAGAGGCTTTCTGTGCTTTGGATATAAGATAGCCGCTAATTTATTCATTCTAATTAATGCCAGCCCAGGAAAGTCTTGAAGGGACAAAGAGGTTATTCTTAATCCTTCCAAGACAAAAGGTCACTGTTTGATTTCATAAGCGTGGCTTTCTGGAGTACCTCATTTTCCTCTTCGTGCTCCAGTATGGCCTGCAGAAATGCCCTCCGCTCGTGGCTCGAAGACTTCTGATCAAACATGCCCGCCTGGATCACTTTCTGATCCACATTCAGCTTGTATTTTGCGGCTGCGAGAATCTTCTCCTCCACGCTGTTCACAGTGCAGAGTCTCAGCACCCGGACCTCGTTCTGTTGACCGATGCGGTGAGCTCGGTCTTGTGCCTGCAGATCCTGTTTGAGAGAACACCACGCTGTGAGGACCGACAAGCCTGGATTAGCCTGGCAAACAAGTCCTTAGCCAAGAGGGACACAAGGCAGTGTTACTGAACCCACCTTTACTAAGGTAAGATTTTGCTTACATTTTAAAAACACACAAGCTACCTTTGAAAAATGTCCAGGTCTCGCCTGGTTGAGAAAACCTGGGTTTAAATTAACCAAGCCAACTGAAATACATCTCAGGTTTTCAAATCCAGGTCTCAAAATATTTTTAGCTGTCCCTAGGTTCACCTTCAGAATTAGGCCCTAACTGAAAAATTATATGAGGGTACATCTGATGTCAGAATTATGATTTAGATATTACCTACGACCAACCTTAAGTTGCAAGAAACACCTTCCTGTTGGTATGAGGTGTTAAAGATGATTTTTAAAATATCATTGGGTTATACATACATGCTTTATACATACATACATTATACAGGTAGTGAATGCTCAGAGAGCCAATTTCCTGGGACCTAACTCTATCAAAGACTCAGTCTTCTGTTTGTAAAATGAGAATGGTTGCTAGTGTGGTAGAAGCTGATGAACTTTTGGGGATAGAAATTTGACACTGTATATCAAAAATGTTGAAATTGGGTGTGACTCTGACTCAGAAATTTCACTTTTGGAAATTTGTCCTAAACAAATAATCATGGATATGCACAAAGATTTAGGAATAAGGATGTACCTTCTTAGCATTATTTATTATATATAATGGCTTTTTAAAAAAAATGTAGAAGTAAACATTCAATAATAACCAATTGGTTAAATAAATTATAGTACTCTACTGTATGTACGTACCAACAGTCTCATAATAATTAAATTGTAGATTTAATAACACAAAGCTATAATAAGTGTGACTACATGTTATAAATGAGTAGGTACATTATGATCTTATATTTGTATATTTACCTATAACGAGAAAAAGGTGGGAAGGACAAATACCAACATGCCACTAATGTTTATATCTGCAGGTAACAAGATTATAGGTGTTATTTAATTTTTTTCATTTTGCTTACATGTGGTTTAACAATTTTTTCTACCATTATTAGATTACTTATGTTACTCTTATAATAAGAAAGGGGCTTTAATGAACTCTTTAAATAAAAACCTTCATAAACCTATGAAGTAGAGTTACCTAATTTTATAGCTACACAATAAAAACTTCTTGGCATACCACTTTTATTCATGTGGTTCAGGGGATGGTATCTGGGCCAATGCTAATTAGTTTACACGTGTCCCCATTAGACTGTAGGGTATACATTTTTAGGGCAAAGGTCTGTTCCCCATATCCTGCATTCATAGCACCAGATTTTACACAGAGCTCAATAGCTGTAAGCCTGTCCTCTTGACCAGATGAGTTTCCTGGTCACCTGTGTAGCACAAGGGGGCAGCAGGGAAACGTCTGCCCAGGAGATTTGTGTTTGCTGCAGGGACCTTTAAAATTGAAACATTTTTCTCAGAAGGTATTTGAATAAGTTAATATAATAGTGCTGAACCATGAATATGGCTGGGTCCCATCCAAATCAGATTATTTTCTAAGGAGGAGAATGTGAGGTGTACAATTAAAATCCAAAGGGGGGTTTTAGGGAAAACTCCCCAAACTTCCTTTTTGAGACCTTAGTTCAATTATCTTTCAACCCATCTTCACCAGAACAGCTAAGCAGCAGCTGAGATGACAAGCTCTGTGTCATCACCTCTTCATGAACAAGGGTCGACAAACTTTCTGTAATGGACCCAATAGTAAATACAGGTCGTCTGGACTAGGAGCGAACATTGGGTAACTGTTCTCACCAAAAGGCTGATATTGTTCTTTTTTCCCCCCTATTTTATATTTATACCTAAAGATGTGAAAACCATTCTTCACTTGCAGGTTGTACAAAAACAGGTGGCAGGCCATCTTGGCCAGTGTCCCAGACCTCCGCTGACCCCTGTCCCAGAAGAAGCTGGTAAAACCACAAACATACTAAAATGCAGATGGCAGCTGATATACTCTTTGAGAAAGAAGAGGACGGAGACAACATACAGTCAGGATGATACGTTCTGGAATCCTTGGTGACTGTTGCAGTTAGTTTTGCTTGGTGATAGGAGCGGTAGTGTATGTTTGTGTGTTTATGGTCATCCATCTGTTTGGAAAGTGCCAAGACTTAGTATCTAGGCTGCAGAAGTTTATGGAATGTGAGCCTTTAAGTGCCTAAACCAAAAAGCGGGGACAAAAGACAATTGTGACAAAGAAATAAGTGCTGTAATTATTGGATGGATTATTCAAGATTTCTGACGTGGTCTCAAACTTCATCACACTGATTTGGGTGTGATAATACTTGAAGACTAGAGCCTGGCCTGAGATGAGGGCCTCTCAGGTAACTCTGTGGTTACCATTCTGTAATAACGCAGCTCCAGCTCTATGGTTTGAAAATACAAGTATCAACCCATGTTTCCATTCAACAGTTTGAAAATTAGAGTCTTGGTAATCCTGAGGGATTTCATTGCTAATTCCATATTTTGAGTTCTATCTTTGCTTCTAGGTAGGGCCTTCAACTAGCAACTTTAAGGCCTTTACATTCAATCTGTCAGCCTAAGTCATATAAACCCATTTCATCTATCTGCCTTCATTTTGATTCAGCATGACAGAGAATATTTACAAAGTTTTCTTCAATGCTTGCTGAATCCAACATGGTACAAAGGGCTCTATATCTTTCATTTTGGGGCTATGCATATATATGCAGGGGTGCACGGTAGATAGAGCTTGAACCCAGGATTCAAACCCAAACCCAGACAGACATAGGCTGAATCCTGGCTGTGTGCCCCTGAGCAAACTAGTGTTGACTGGTTTCCTCATGTGTCACATATTTTGAGGATTACCTGAAGTATGCAAAGTGCCTAATAGCATCTGATAGAGTGGCTTAATAAAAGTTAGTTCCCTTACCTTTTAAATGAATACTCAGTACTTGTCTATATCACTCTAAGGTCACTGATTTCTGAAAATGAGAAAAAGGTTTGCCCAAACTAATGGTCATGTTTAAGTGACAGATATGAAAAATCTGCACAGCCACTTACCAAATCAGGTGGAAGTGAATCAGCCTACGGCAGGTATTAATACTTGCAGAGGTATATGGCCCATGTGAGGAACTTGTGGTAAATTAGACCAGAAGAAATTTGGGGTGTGTGTTTTGTTGCCAAACTTTTAGTTCACTATAGTTAAGAGGCAACTGTTCAGTGCTCCTGCAACTCACTTTGATGCTGGATTTTCCCCTGTTGCTACTGGTCACAAAAGTTGTACCCACAAAGTTTGTAATGGAGCTAGAAAGGGGAAAGAAAGAAAGAAAGAAAGAAAGAGAGAGGGAGGGACAGGGGAAGAGAAAGGGAGATTGAGGGGAGAGAGGGACAGAGGGAGAGAGGGTGGGGGAGAGAGAGAGAGACACACACACACAGAAACATAGATGTCCCATTCTTTGCCATGGTGTGATGGTTAATTTTAGGTGTCAACCTGGCTACATTAAAGAATACATAGAAACCTGGTAAAGCATTATTTTTGGGGTGTGTTTATGAGGATGTTTCCAGAAAAGATTAGCACGTGAGCCTGACTAGATGGAGTGGGAAAGACCTATCCTCAATATGCGCGGGCACTGTCCAATCCCCTAGAGGACCGGAGAGAACAAAAACAAAGGAAAAGCACCTAGACTCACGAAATAAGAAAATCGGGAGTGGAGTGGTAGGAAAGGGGAAGCAGACATGCATATTTTTTAAAAGGTCCCTTATAATTCTAATGCACCCCTGAACTCTATTTTCTGCCAGAAACAATGGCTCTAAGCCTTTTCCAATCTTCACAACCACCCCGTGAGACAGTCTGACTGTAAGAAAACAGGTTTGGTGAGGAGCCCAGGTTCAGCTGATGTAGACAGAATTCAGATTCAAATGTGAAAGCTGCAGTTTTCCTTTTTTACTATTTTGAATTCAGCATTTGTTCCAATATGAACTAAATCCTGACGAATGCCATTCTACCCAGTATTTTAGAGGCAGGTACATCACCTCCCAGACTAATTCAGAGAAACTGTTCCCCATTCAATTTTTTCTTTTTCTTTCTTTCTTTTTTTTTTTTTTAAATCATCAGAGTACTCCTTTAAAAGGGTAACTCTAAACTTACCTGGCTAAAATAACTTACAATAATAGATGCTTGATAGAATATTTTTTGATGATGATTTTAAACAAAACACACATAATAAAAGGTTAACAATCATATACTAACTGTTTGGCTTTGGGAAGTTACTTAGCCTGCCTAGGACTCAGTTTCTTTGACTGTAAAGATGCAAATAGTAATATTAACTACTTCACAGAGTTGTTGTGAAAACTGAAAGAAACAATGCACATGAAGAGGTTGGCACAGAGTGAGCGTCCTGTAAATGTTAATTGCTGTTGCTTTGTACTATTTTGGAACATTTTTGCTTTATCCTTCATGAAATGTACTTTGCTCAATGGCAATCCCAGGAGATGAGATTATGACTGAGTTTTACAACAATTGAGTTTTTTACCCCAAACCTGAGCTCTTCAAAGGCATGTGTGGGACATCTGAATATCCATGCTTTGAGGGAGGTAAGAAAGCAGCCATAATAATTGGCTGGGCTCTTTCTCCCTTGGAGAAATGGCCCACTTGTTTAGAAGTTTGCTCTGTCCTATAGATGTGAATGATGAGCCATAATCTTTTAGTTCCTCTCCAGAGGGAGGCCTGGGCACCCGAGTCAGATATGCAGACCTGATGAGGATTCCAGTCGCTGTCAAAGATGACCACTGTATCAGCTGCCTGAAGATTTAAGCCCAGGCCTCCAGCTCTCGTGCTTAACAAGAAAATGAAATATTGGGACCCAGGTTCATTGAATTTCTTCAGCAAAGCAGCACGGTCTTCAGACTTGGTAGTGCCTGCAGGGGTAACAAAAATAAATTTGCCAATTAACTCCTGCCTGAAAATGGCACAGAACAAGACAGAAAGGCCTGCTTCCCAGAGAAATACACCCAGACTCTTCTTAATGTTGGTTAGGTAATCCTCAGGATTTTTGTACTTTTGAAAGGAACTTTGGACATTTTATAATTAAAAAAAGAGAGAGAGGGAGAGAAAGAGTTTAAACATTTCTGACTGAACTCCATTACAACTTTACAAACTCTGCAACATTCTTACTCTAACCTAAAATTTAATGAAAACATTATCTGGATTTACTTCTTGCTTTAAAACACCAAATAATTTTTAAACACACCCACATACACACACGTGCATGACAAAAACTATTATAATGGCTTAAAGCAATTTAGCCAATAGCCATTAGAGTGAGTACTTACTTATGCCAAGAGAATGGAAACAAAAGAAAAGTTGATTTCTACTACTTTATCTTTTGAATTGCTATTGAGTATGCTCTGGCTGGTAAAAACATAAAATGTGAATGAAATATTTTTATCTTTATTAGCAACACTTGAAGCTACAACGATCTAAAAAAATATAAGGAATCCCTTAGTCTATTTCTCACATCAACATTCTGCTCTGTTGAGTTCAAAGGATGCTAAAGTCAATCAAACAGAGCAGCATGTTATATGCCTGGGGGTGGCTCACCCCATGGTATCTGAGGAGGCTCCCAAACAATGACTAAGCAGAGAGTCCCAAGCCCCAGTGCAATGCTCACTGTGGGGACAAACTCCAGTACATACTATGTATTCGTAAGGTATTTTACCAGGTCATTTTATAAAATGCATTGTGGAAGAGAAAACAAAAACAAAAACAAAAAAAGCCACCCGTATCCCATTTGTACATATTTCACCAGAGAAATGTATATGCTGAGTTTTGAAAAAGGCTTTATTTAGGCTGTTGGGAAATGTATATGCATGGTACATGATAGTCCCTGACTGATGCAGTACAAGTATTTTTTCTACATGTTCTTTTTTAAGGATGAAAATATACCAGCAATTTATTTCAGAGGATTAAAACATTTAAGTAACTATAGCTAATGGATCAAGTTACTACGAGGGTCAAGTTCCCAAACATGAGGAGATCTGTTTTTCACATCTAATAAAAATAACAAGGGCCCTCCTTAGGGAAAAAAAAAAAAAAAATCAATTCCCTGCATACGGCAATTGGGGATTAGGAACTAGGGGTTTTGGAGACTCTCCTCATTTAATGAAACAACATTCTTTAGAGTCATTTTACTTTCTAAATTAGATTTTGAGTTTAGGGAACTGGCCAAAACCTGCCACAATGAATTGTACGAATTTGGATTTGGGGAGAGGGGCACTAAATATGCTCTCAGTGAGGTTTCAAATGTGGAACTCTGTTTTGTTTTCAGAATTGGCTTTCTGAGATCACAGGGAACTAATTGCTCATGATGCTAATAGAAGACATGTTCTGTTTTGCCATGAAGTCCTCTCTATATTGTCTTTCCATTTGTAATAATTCTGTAGAAAATTATTCACATGGACTAATGGTTCACATATTTATCCTCTGCCTTAAACTGAAATAAAAGCCACCACAAAAACCGAAATATCCTTCTAAAACGGGGAAAGACGGGGCTCCTAGAGATAATGACCCCTGTTTTCTGACAGCAGGGTACAAAAGCTGTGCATCTATGATCTTATGTACCCTGACGGTAGAAGTTCAACAGTTTGGATCAACTGAAAAACAACCAGTTAATGATCACATGTATTAAGATATAAATAAAACTAATTAGGGGATATGCCTGCTTATGATGAAATAACCCTACGTGTAAAATAAAGCACTGAAAAACAAAAGGGAGATCAAAATTATTTGGTCAAATAAGTTTTCAGGCCATATGCCAGACACTTCAAGCAAATAGACTGACCATATAACTGGTGTGTATTTAAAAGTTCATGTAAAGATTTGCATTATCTTTTAATTCTAATTTTTTACGAACTTGTTGAAGTACCCTCATAGCTGGGACCTTGACAAATTATAAAAACGAACAAACAAAATAGATTAAATCACTTTACATGCAAAGCTACAGAATTTCTTATTACAAGGTTCAGAATTTGCCAGACTACCATTTCCATTAGTCAAAGTTTCCTAAGTCAAGATGTGTGCTGATGATCAGCAATCTTTTCAATATTGCTCAGGGAGATTCAAACTACCATGTTAGANTCTTTCTTAAAATGATGTTGCTAGAGAAGCAGACTGTATTTTTAGAGATGGGGTATATTTCTCTGGGTCTGCTAAAACTGAGCTAATCTGGAATCAGAGAAATCCAAGTTAGAGCCTGGTTTCACCATTTACCTTTGTTTTCTCATCTGTTAAATGGGGATCCTAACAGCAATTTGGAAAACAGGGATTACAGTACCTTATTTGTTGAGGAAATTAAATCAATGATGCACACAGAGTGCTTTGCCTCGAATCCCACAGGTAGTAGATGCTCCATAAATGTTAGGTGTTATGACTATTTTTATTAATAACAGTAGGGACAGCAACCAACAGACTATTAAAGAGATTCTCTCAGACTGGCAAGAAACCATCAGAAAGATTTGTTTCAGGGAAATCACTTCTTGCCAGTTTTACAGATTCAGATATTCTAAGGCTGCAGTCCTCAGAGGGCTGAGATTCAAAATAAAATGCCACAAAGTAACAAACAGTAGTTATGGAGGACACCTGTGGGGGGCTGTAAATCTAGGGGATAGTAAAGCCCAGTGTCCCTTCCCTGAGCAGCAGTTAAAGGAAGGTTTATCTTTTTTTTTTTCCTTTTTGTCTTTTTTTTCGTGTCCGGCAACGGATNAAAATAGATTAAATCACTTTACATGCAAAGCTACAGAATTTCTTATTACAAGGTTCAGAATTTGCCAGACTACCATTTCCATTAGTCAAAGTTTCCTAAGTCAAGATGTGTGCTGATGATCAGCAATCTTTTCAATATTGCTCAGGGAGATTCAAACTACCATGTTAGAGTTTATCCAAGGCAAATGCTCCTTGCAGGTGGCACAGCATTTCATGTGCTCAGTACTAGCATCAGTTTCATGGTCTTTTAGACTTTGATGTAGAACATATCCAATTATAAGAATACAATTAATAGCAAGGGTGATTGTGTTGAAAATTACAGAATTTGCCAGAAGGAAAATACTGCCAGACTTTCATGATTAGTAATTTTAATTTAGTTTCAGCTCTTTTGGAAAATTTTGTCTTCTGAAATGAAACCAACACTTGCTCTCACTCACAAATCATTTCCAGTGAAAACAAAACCTATAATGTATAGTAGCTAAATCTATTCATGCAACCATAATCTTTGCAGAAAAAATTGCTGAGCTTTCATCAAGTAATTTTTTCCTTGAAGTCAAAAATCTGAGACATCAGATTCAGCAATGAAAATCTTAAGTCATTTGAACAACTGGGTGTTGGGGTGTGGGTGGAGGGTGGTGCATTTGGAAGAGTGTGCACTAATTTATCCATGTGTACG